GAGGTGGTTGAAGAAATTGAGGAAGTGGAAGAAATCCAAACGAAACCAGAAGAGACGAAACCAGAAGAGACGAAACCAAAAGAATATGAATTTAGGGTTACAGAAACTGAAAAGCCAAAGGAAGAAGTATTTGAGGAACAAATAACACTTCCAAAGAAAAAGAAACCAACTCCTCAAGACACAGAAGAACCGGAAACCGAGGTCAAATTGACAACAAAGAAACCAACTGAGGAGGTTCAGGAAGCAATTAAAATTAAGAAGAAACCGAAAAAAGAACAAAAACCGGAAGAAGCTGCAGCTGAACTGAAAGTTACAATTGAAGAGGAGGTACCCCAAGAACAAGTGCAGGTGGAAGAGGTAGAAGAAATAGAAGAAGTGATAGTGCCTAAGGAAGAAAAGCCTGAAGAGAAACCAAAGCAATATGAATTCAAAATTAAAGAAACTGAACCACAAACCGAACAAATTGTCGAAGAGGAAGTTACATTGCCAAAGAAAAAACCTATTAAACCTGAAATAGTGGAAGAGCCTGAAACGGAAGTAACTTTGAAACCTAAAAAGAAGATCGAAGAAGTGGAGGAAGAACTCAAAGTTGTCAAGAAAAAGCAAAAGAAACCTAAGGAAGAAGCGGCAACTGAGTTCACTGTACAAGTCGAGGAAGAAATTGTACCCGAACCTGTTGTTGAAGAAATAGAAGAGATCGAAGAAGTATTTGTGCCTAAAAAACCAAAAGAGATAGAAGAAACTGAAGAGGTTGAAGTGAAATTGAAGAAACCCACGCCAGAAGAAGTTCCAGAAGATGTACAAGTTGACGTTGTGCTCAAGCCAAAGAAACCTAAACAGGTTGAAACAGAGGAGTTCGCAGTCGACGTCAAACTGCCGAAACAAAAGAAAACGACAGAAGAAACAACGGACGAAACAGTTGCACTGAAAAAGAAGAAGAAGCCCAAGCCAGTTGTCGAAGAGGCGGCTGATGAACTGAAAATAACTAAAGAAGTGATCGAGGAACGTCCAGTTGAAATTGAGGAAGAAGAAATTGTCGAAGAAGCTGTCGTTATGCGCAGAAAACCGAAGAAACCATTCGAACCAACAGTTGAAGAACATGACGAACAAGAATTTAGTTTGTCTTTGAAGAAACCTAGACAAATAAACGAGGGTGTGACAGAAGAAGCTACAGTTTTAAAGAAACGTCCCTCACGACCAATGGTATTCGACGAAGCTGGTGCAGAACTCTCTATCAAACGGGAAGAGGAATACGAAGAGGGTGAAGATATCGAAGAATTTGTAGTGGAAAGAGGACTAAAACCAAAGCCATTGCAAATAACCGAAGAAAACGAACAAGAATATACGGTTAAGAAATTGAAGCGACGCAAGAAGGGTGTAGAAATACCCGAGTTTACCGATGTCGAAAATGTTACATTCCGTCCTAAAACGACAAAAACTAAAGAAGATGTCGATCAAGAGTTCAATATTGCATTAGATCAATATGCTGAAGAAGAGATTTCCATGTCCGGTAAAGTTAAGTTGAAGAAACCTATAACGAAGACATATTCTGAAGCGGCTGATGAAGCTAAAATCAAGATCTTTGAAGATTATGACGATGACGAAGGTCCAATCATTGAAGAAATACGCGATGACAGTAGTATTGAAGATACAATGTACGATGTAGAAGAACCCGAAGAATATCAAGTGGAAGAATTGCCACCTGACGATTTCGATTTCACGATTAAACCGAAATCTACTAAACCCAGATATTCGATACAAGATGAGGAGGAGGAGCAATTCTTGATTGGTATTCGTCGTCCGAAGAGCGATTCGGTAACGTACGATGAGGACTCATTCACATTCAAAAAGAAACGAAAGGTTGTGCAACAAATTTTCAATGAAGGTCAGTAATAACAAAAACTTTTATTACAAGTATAGCAGATAAATGAAAACACCTGAATTATATACCGCGCATTTGATCATTTGACTGCTTGGCAATAAATATTTAATTGTCTTTTTTATCTTCAAATGCATAAATTCAATTTAGCAGGCTTATATGATAACAGCGTTAGTAATGTGAGGTAACGGCTTTTAATGCAAACATTCATGTCTCCCCATTCTAAATGTACTCATAATAAATATCTGTTACACCATTAACATTTCACCTGTGAGAAAATTATGGATCTCTTCTTAATTTGGTATTTATTTAAAATTTTTCTTATCATATTTGCATATCGACAGAGGGCGCTTCATTAAATATCACACGCGAAATGAATATTGAAGGTAAGATTTCAAATCTACTCCACTATATCTTGACAGCGTTGATAACTAATGTACCCGTATGTACCCTCCTTTCAGAAACCGATGACGAGAATGCCATGTATTCCATTTGCAATTATATCGCCGACAATGATGAGGCAATCAATTTGGTCGAGGGTGAGAAGGTTTATGTGATCGGACGTCACAGCTCAGAATGGTGGTATGTAAAGAAGAACATAACTGAAGAGGAGGGCTGGGTACCTGCACAGTATCTTATGGAACCAGTCGAATACCAGCATTATGTACAGAAGAAATTACATGAGAAAATCGACAAACTGCCAGTATTCGAACGTAAGTTTCTGATTTTTTTTTTTATAAAATTCTAAAAAGAACAAAAATTATTGGTAAATATATAGCATACAGGGTGATAAAAATATATACATTTGTACGACGCTTATAAAATTTTACTACAGCATAGAATTTGTTGTGAAGATTTCATAATTCATTGCCGTGTAGCCTTGGTCTCTTAAGTTAACCGCATTCAATATAAATAAATATAAACGAATGGGCATTGGAGGTTTATAAATTTCGAAAACAACAATTTTTTCTCACCCTATATAGCCATTAATATACTTAAATGCTTAACGTATGTGAATATCGTTCATTGTTTTTGTAAAATTTGGTAAGAGTGTGTCTTGTTCATCTTATGTTTAACACAACGTGTTCTGTTCTATTGTTTCTTCTATAACACATCAATGTTTGAAGGTCCCGGACCTGAAGAGAAACCCTTGGCACCACGTTTCATTGAAAAATTACAACCAATTCACACGCCTGATGGTTATACCGTACAATTTGAATGCAAAGTTGAGGGTATGCCACGCCCACAAATCGCTTGGTTCCGCGAAACTGCCATAATAAAGCCTTCCCAGGACTTCCAAATGTACTATGATGATGATAATGTTGCAACATTGATAATACGCGAAGTATTCCCAGAAGATGCTGGTAAATTTACCTGTGTCGCTAAAAATGCTGCCGGTTTCACTTCATCCACAACGGAACTAATTGTTGAGACACCATTGTCTGATCATGGTTCCGATGCTACGGGCTTATCGCGTAAGAGTCTGTCACGTGAATCATCACTAGCCGATATACTCGAAGGTATACCACCGACCTTCTCACGCAAACCGAAGGCACAATATGTTGATGAAGATACGAATGTAATATTGGAATGCCGTTTGGTGGCTGTACCCGAGCCCGATATTGTTTGGACCTTTAATGGCGAGGAAATCGATGTTGAGGAAACCAAAAATATACGCGTTGTTACCGAATCTGATATGCACATGTATTGTAGTGTTGTACACATTACGAAAGTAAAGAAATATCAGGAAGGTACCTATGAGGTGATTGCCACTAACCGGGAAGGCGAATCTCGATTGCCGATTGTTTTGAAGGTACGTACAGATGAAAAAGAACCACCACAAGTATTGGAACCGCTACGTAACACTGTTGTGCGTGAGGGCGAAAGCGTCGTCTTGACCACACAAATTGTGGGTAATCCACGTCCTAAGGTGACCTGGTACAAAGATGGCAAACCAATTACGAAGAATACTAAATCTGACAAAGATACACATACTTTGACATTGATCTCACCGAAAGCAGATGAAAGTGGTGAATATACTGTGAAGGCAGAAAATCCATTGGGCAGCGTAGAAACAACGGCTAACCTAACGATTGAAGGTAGTATTTTTGTTTATTGTTTTATGTTAGGCTAAACTCTACGCCCTAAATAAATATAAAAATTTACCTTACCACTTTCTAAACAAAATTTCTGTACTCCTATCCCCAAACAGAACCTTCTACTGGCAATGCAGAACCACCGTTGTTCGTCGAACGTTTCGAGGAGCAATCTGTGCCGCAAAAGGGCACAATTCGTTTGCCTGCTAAGGTTACGGGCAATCCAGTGCCTGAGGTGCAATGGCTTTTCAATAATAATCCACTCTATCCCTCACAACGTGTACAACAAATCTACGATGGTGAGAATATTGAGCTCATTATCAAGGACGCCAACCCCGATACAGATTCCGGTGATTACAAGTGTATCGCCAGTAATCCGATTGGTAAAACATCACATGGAGCGCGTGTTATTGTTGAGGTTGATGAGGTTACGTTCACCAAGAAACTTAAGAAAACCATAACCATCGAAGAAATCCAATCGCTCACGTTGGAGTGTGAAACCTCACATGTGGTCACAACAAAATGGTTCTTCAATGGCAAAGAGCTCAGCGGTATGGATCATCGTGTAGTCGTTGAAGATGGCAAAATACATAAACTAGTGATACGTAATACCAATTTGCGTGATAGCGGTACTTATGTTTGCAAAGTTAAAAATAAGGAGACCGAGTCCACAGTTGAAGTTTTGCCACGTAAACCTGAATTCATAAAAATACTCGAAGACTACGAGGTAACCGAAAAGGAGACTGCAATTTTCGATGTTGAAGTATCCACGGATAATGCTGAAGTCGTATGGTTTAAGGATGGTGAAAAGATCACTCCCGAAAAGAAAAATGTAGAATTTGTCAACGTGGGTAGGGTGCGTAAACTCATAATACGTGAAATCACCATACACGATGAAGGCGAATACACCTGTAAGTTAGAAGAGCAGGAATGCAGCGCTGAACTTACGGTTATTGAATTGCCGCCCGAAATTGTGAAACCTTTGGAGGATGTTACCGTAACACAAGGCGAGAATGCCGGTTTCGCAATTGAATTGAGTAAGGGAGATGCTTTAGTTAAATGGTTCAAGGATGGCAAAGAACTACCACTTAACGGACACATGCAACTAACGATCGATGGTAAGAAACAAACGCTCAGGATCGTAGAGGCCAAACCATCGGATGCCGGACAATATACCATACAAGTGGGTCCACAAACTTCAAAGGCACAACTAATCGTCGAGGAACCGTTGGTGAACTTCGTGTTGCCATTACCTGATGTGACTATCGCCACGAAGGGTACAGATGCCGAGTTCACTGTTAAATTATCACAGCCTGATGTCGAGGTCACTTGGTATAAGAAGGCTAAACCCATTAAACCCAACAAAAAGCATGAAGTATTTGTTGAGGGTACCGTTAGGCGTTTGGTTATACACGATGCCGATGATGATGATAGCGGTGATATTAGTTGTACTGCTGCTAATGCAACAACAGCAAGTAAATTGTGTGTTGAGGAAATTCAAACATTACCCATCATCACTACTGACAAGGATCAAACAATTAAGGTTAAGGAGAATGATGATGTTACGATGACAGTCAAATTTTCTGGCACACCAAAACCAGATGCCGAATGGAGTACGACAAAGAATGTTGTTGTCAAGAATAAGCATTTAATACCCACATTAGATGAACAATCGGCATCGCTTACCATCAAAAAGGTGGTGGACGATGACGAAGGTATATACACTGTAAGACTGAAGAATCCAGTTGGCGAAGTGGAAGCCACGCTTAACTTGATCATAATGAGTGAGTATTTGAGTTTGCATATGTTTTGAAGTTTATTTTCGATTCGTGTTTAGCTTTTGCGCGAATCTTCTCTTTTTAATGCTAGTTTAGAACTTAGGCCACAATAACGGATTCAAAACATTTTATAGGAAAACCAACGGCACCTGGTGCACCGGAGCCATTAGAGGTCACACACGATTCTATTACACTCTTCTGGAAGGCGCCTGAAGATGATGGCAAATGTGAAATTACAGAATACGTGCTGGAATATCAAGACGTGAAAGAGGAGAGGTAATTTAAAAACAATTTGATTACCAATTGGGAACAAACATTAAATACTTTATATACAAAATTGCAGATGGATTGAGATACGCAAAATCAAAGACACCACATACACTATCAGCAAGCTGAAAATCGATACGGAATATGTATTCCGTGCCATCGCTGTAAATGAGGTTGGACCATCACCGCCCTCACCACTATCACCACCTATACGCCTTGTAGCGGAGGTGAAGAAGGAAAAACCTACAGTACAAGAACCACTACAAGACATCGTAACCGAGCTGAACAAGGAGATTACATTGTCTTGTGTATTCGGTGGCATTCCAGAGCCTAAGGTGACGTGGAAGAAAAATGGTAAGATTATTACCACGAAGACCATACGCTATGAGAATCGTGTATCGAAGTACACAATCGAGAAGACAACAATTGAGACTGAAGCAACGTACACATGCGTAGCTGAAAATGAAATGGGCAGCGTGGAGACCTCATGTAGAGTTATACTGCAAGAGAAACCGACCATTGATATCGATGAGAAGTATCTTGCACAGAAAATACGTGCTGGCACCACTTTGAACATTCCGGCCACTGTACGTGGTTATCCACAACCGAAAACCACTTGGTTTAGAGAGACCATTGAACAAACAACCACAATGGAGCGTGTACAAATCGAAACCACAGAGACCACCTCAACGTATACACTGGAGAAGGTGACACGTGAAGATTCCGGCCGTTATAAGATCACAGCGACGAACACATCTGGTACAGCGACGACGGAATGTACAATACAAGTTATTGATAAGCCAAGTCGACCACAATCGCTGGAAATCAAGGAAATGAAGAAGGACGCAATCACACTAGCATGGACGCCACCAATCGATGATGGTGGTCTGGAGTTGAATAAATATGTGTTGGAGAAATGTGATTTGCAAAATAATCTCTGGATGAAGGTGGCCGATTTGGAAAAAGACATACACTCCTATGCTATACAAAAACTTTCCATGAACGCTCAATATATGTTCAGAGTGGTAGCAGCTAATCCGGTTGGTGAATCTGAACCAGTTGAGAGTGACCCTGTGACAATTATCAAGAAATTCGGTAAGTAGTTAAATGATATTTTCAAATATCTATATAATTTAGTGTATTATTTATTTATCTTGCCACAGAAAAACCATCAGCGCCACGTGGTCCAACAGACGTCTTCGGCATGACAGATACGGCATTTACGCTCTCATGGGAACCATCAGAAAGCGATGGCGGCTCAAAGATTATCGAATACATTGTCGAAATCAAAGAATTCCATGAAACCGAATATCGTCTGCTCGGCAGCACGATCGGCAACGTTACAAATATACTCGTTAGCGAGGTGATAAAGGATCGTGCATATCAATTCAAAATCTATGCAAAGAATGAAGTTGGCATTAGTGAAGCTCTAGAGACTGAAGACAAAATAGTTGTAGGCCGCAGAATAAGTAAGTGTATTTGTATGGTTTTTTATTTAAAAACATATATACATAAAAACATATTTTCCTTTTTTATTAGTTAGTTTTACGGCTCTTTACAACTAGTTAGTGATTGATATAGGATTTAACTTGAAAACCGCTTGCTCTAGCATTCTCAAATTCAACTACTTTCACTAACTGTTTCATTTACAATTAACTGACTTTTTAGTTCGCTTAAATCTATTATGAAAGTTATTAAGAACTGTATTGCCTGGCAAGTAAATCTAATTTCGAAATATTCAACGTCGATAAATGTCGCAAAT